CATGGGTATGTATGTATGTATGTATGTATGTATGTATGCTTGTCTGTGTTTGTCAAATCGGCTTACATGAAACTGAGTTAAAGCTTTTACGATGTCAAGTCAGCTAGCGCATGTTTTATTTGGACAGTTTTGAAACAACTTTATGACTTGGCATCTATAAAAAAAAGAGTAACAAAACATTCAATATTATCGACTACAGTATAGTTCGTAAAATGCTTTAAAATAGCGCCAATGCTTATTTTCAATTTATAAGTAATTGTAATTAAAAGAATAAAATAAAATGTAATTAAAAGAAATAAATGACTAAAATCATATCAAATCAAATACTTATTATCTCTCCGAAAATAATACAACTAGTAGATAAAAATGATTCAAAAAAGTTCCATCCGAATCTTTAGGGCACAAAAAAATGCTCGCTGTCCAGCTACATTTAACAATGGAAAGCAAAAGCGTGTATGGACTGTATTTGAATAGGTCTCGCTATTGAAGAAGAAAGACAGCCGGTGACATTTTTTCGAAATGCATTTTGTTACGCTTTGTTGTCTAATGGAATATTTTATGGCTAGAAAGTGAAAGTTGTAGTTTAGAACGGTTGCACTCGTAATTGCATTTCATTGCAATTGTCGTGCAACTGAGCTGCAAAGTCTAGTTTTGCATTTAATGCAGTTTCCGTGTAAATTTTTTCTGAGGCCACAATATGATTTGCTGAACGTGATCCGTTGGTCTGTATCTGTCGATATCTGTTGATCTCTTCCTCATCTACAAACAAAGGCCTGAAACTGCTATCAAGCGCACAGCTAATGAAGAGACAATGGAGCTCAAGATATGTACAGCTTGTATGCAAAAAATTAATGACTTGTGCTTGACACAGCCCTTGTAATACACAAGCCTGCGAAGTTGTTTCATATTCAGGGGTTTTGTGCATGTCAGGCTTGATTGATCAAAGTCTAGGTTAAGGTGGGCACCAACTAACCAAAGAACTGAAAGCGCGCACAATTGAGTATTTATTTGATAGAACGACCTCCTTTAGAGTGCGACTTTGAAAATTCACGCTCAATTAAGCATCAATAAAACAAAAGAAGCTGTCATCAGCCAGCAATAAATAATAACAAAGCCACTTAGAAAACAAACCGCCACTCACCCAAACACCAACATTAAGCGCACTTGCCGCTTTTTAGCCAACTGCAATACTTCAGCAGTATTTGGTTCGAAGTACTCTGCATTATTCATTTTTTTTATTGCTCCTATGACATCATGACTCTCCAAATATTTTATATTCATTAATTGTTTTTCTGTTTATACTTAGTTTGTTTATAAATTTGTCTGCTTTTGAAGCCAACACCAAACAATAAAGAATTACACATACCCTGCATGTGCTGAATTTTTTAAAGAACAAATATGAAAATTCCTTCCAATATTTACCTAGACCAAATAATTATTGTTTACTCGCTGTTGCTGATAATGTATAGTGTATTAACCCTTGATGAATCAAATAAAATATCGTACAATAATTTAAAAGTGTTTAGACTCTCTCAGCAAAGCCAGGTTAGTAATCATTCCCTCATTAGGTTAATGACTTTCTATTTATTTATTTAATCTGGCTTAATCTGTTTCCATACATTATATGTTGCAAAGTTTCGTGTAATTTTTAATAATAAGTTTTAATAATGATAATAGTCATAGAATGAAATGTTATAAAAAGCAGTTACTGGCTTGCTGTATCTCAATTGTTGCAATTTTTTTAATATACATAACTACAAAAAATCCAAAAATTCTCATATAGTACATCAAAATTAGGGCTTATATAATGTGTATAATACGAACGATAAAAATAATGTTTTTCAAGTACTACATTAATTTAAGGTAGATGCTTTCAATCCGGTATGGTCAGGCATTTAAATAATTTACACACAAATTTACCAATTTCCACAAGTACATAATGTGTAATGAATGCTCATTATATTAAATGTTATACGAATTCCACACAAAACAAAGTTTTTCAATTACAAAAAATTACTGTGCGATTTATTAATGTAATTCCCCCAAACATTCTAATTATTTTTAAATGTTTATTATGATTGATTGTTGACTTATCTCTTCAATTAAAAAATGTTGCAATTAATAAGATAGAAGCCGTTGTCTGAATAACGGAATTATTAATATATCATAGAAAATTTTTGTTTAAAGTAATTTTAAAAATTTGTTAAAATTGTGTTTTCCAACTCAAGCAAAGCTGCAGCGGAGAGACGAGATAGAGGGTACAGTTAATTCTCTAACTTCGGTATGGGTTAAGTGCCAAGTTTGTTTTCCTACACGTTTAAGAATTACGAGTTCTTTGAATGGCATCTAAACATTTGTTTTTTGCGTATTTTAATGGATTTTGTTGGGCTGCCAACCTCATAAAGCGCTATGTAAAAAGATGAGCTGTTGCGTTTATGTTTCTGCGAAGTCAGCTAGGTATGTGTTGACAATCTCGGAATAGGGTTCTTGATATTCGAACTAGAATGTGTGTACATATGTATGTATGTAGATAGGTAAGCGCAATTACGAACGTAATTATAAACCATGAAACCAGAGTAGAGGCGCAGCACATTGTGACCCCATTAGCCGATCGCACACGAGCACGAGTCAAAGTCGAAGTTATGGAACGCTTTTTGTATGCATGCGCGCCAACTTTTATCTCTCGGCCGGCTTACAGAAACTATCTCAGATAAGATAGTGCCGGTTAGGAGTACTGGCGTCAGTGCGACAGTCAGTGAGGTGGAGGTGGTCCATAATTTTTTGATAAAGCACTGCGTTTTTGAAATGTGATTGCATGCAGGTGCAGTCATATACTTGTATAGTAAATGTAATTGACCCCAAAAAATTGATTTTCGCCTTTAGGATCGACAAATCAATCATTAAGCAGAATATCCATGAAAACATAACTGATAATATATATTACACAACAATTTCAAGAAATCTCATTAGCTACTCTCAGACAGAATTAAGTGATGCATCTAATTATGTTTTTATATCCAGCGCCCCAACTGTTAAACTGTCTGATGGTATTTATGATTTTAGTTGTCAAGGTAATGACTGCTACAACAACGCTTATTTTAGCAGGAAAAAGGGGGTGGATACAGAGTATTAAAGAGTCGTACTGTCATGACTTAAAAATTAAGAATAGAGTATATTCTCTTTTTATTTGCTTGATTCCTCGCAGGCAATAAAAACTGAAGTAAGTGTGTATGACATAATCGCAGTTTAAAGTCAAACTGAAATGATTGTGATTATTATGAAATTTTCACTGATTATTGCCAGGCACTAAAGGGGTCTCTTAATAATATGTCGGTATGCAAATGTGTATGAACTTTTGAATAATTTCCATTTGAAAAGCGACGCAGACACACCTTTTAAATAATTTGTGGTAATGGAAAAAGCATGTCGCACCTAAAAAATGCCTCCTACATCTCTACATACATATATATTTACATACCAATGTATGTAGGTATGTACATATGTATGTATTCTGTATTCTTAACAAATACGTATAATTATTGCGCTTTTATCGTTTAGTTGCTTTATTCTAGGTTCAAATTTTCTAAATACGCCATCGTATTAATAAAAAATTTTTGTCGCGTACGCGAATACGAATAAAATATACTTACATATGCACATACATACATATCAGATGATGAAGAAGAAGAAAAGGCAAAAACATTATTGAAAACTGTTCAAAACTGGTTTTGAATTATTTATTTTCGTTTTCAACGTCTCATATTTAACAAATTAAAACAACTTTAGCACTGCGACGCATGCGCGCGTGTGTGAGAGTGTATGTAAGTATGTGTGTGTGTGTGTGTGTTTGTATTGTAGCCGTATGTTGAGTTTGTACGAAGGTGACTTCTTTTCAAGTAAATGCATTACCGGTTTTTCTTCTTCACCACCACATCCACCACCACGCCACCACTCGCCGCCCGCTTGTCACTTCGCAGTCGATCCGATCGCTACGTTGCCCACCACATTGAGCAGCGTTAAAGGCGAAGAGCAATGTAACTCAAACCAACACACAAACAGACATACCCAGTGCGGTGTAATCTTATCTACCTCTTTCTTGTTCTTCGCTCTTATTGCCGCTGTGTTGTGAAAACACATCGTGGCCGTAACTGTATGTACGAGTACTACAATGTCTGTCAAGCACAAGCTGCCCCGCACCTACCTGGAGGTGCTCTGAAATTTTTGCAAATGCATTTGCATTTGCACATTTGTGTGTGTGCGTGTGTGTGTGTGTGTGCCATTTTTGTAAGTTTAGTTTGACGTTTAGCGCAGAATTTGTTTATTTTTAAAATTTACTTTTAAGGCCAGGCTTAGTGGCAATTACGAAACAAGTAGACTGGATGCGCAACATTCAGAAAATTTATAGCAAAATACTATATACATATATCGCTAAATACATAATTGCGACTTAAGTTCAAAATATATCTATGTATATGTACTTATATAGTATATAAGTACACAGATACATACATACAAATATATATCTATTCGCTTACAAATACACACGCACTCGTGGAAAGCAGCTGCTACGAGGTTTACTGTGACATACCGTCAAATGTGTGTATGTGTGTGGATGTGTATGCTTTCGATATGCCACAGCGGGCCCAGAGGTAAGAAGGCAACGAAGCCACAGGTAAGCAAGCAACACGCAACCAACACACTTGCACATGCGCTTACCAATATTAAAAGGTGGCCAACAACCACGTGGGCGAGAACGAGTATACTATATAGGCACTCATTGGATCGCAGACATTTTCTCTCTTGCTCCCGCTTGTAGCCGATAGAGCACACACACATATATAACTCAAAATATATCCATCACAGTGTCGGTCACAGTGCATTCAATGTCTATATCGGGCCTCGAACTGGATATTAACTGCACTTGCCACTTATTTTGTTACAGTTTGCAATAATATTATTGCAGACGCTTCTTCTTTTAATTAAAATTACAATAAACTTACCTTGTGTGTTCGGCGGGTGCTTGTGGTATGCTCCTTAATTAAAGCAAAGTAATCCCAGTTTAGTTGTGCGCTAAAAAAAACACAAATTTTTAAGTAGTTTAAACAATAAGCTACTCCGCACTTGTGCAACTGCAATATAAATATTTGTTTTGCTTATTAACAGCCACTTTTAATTGCGATTTCCGTCTTTCTCACGTTGATTATAATTCGCAGTTTGGTTAAATGTCCAGCTTTCTTGGTTAGTAAACAAATCCAATTTTTATTTTACCGTTCTCGTATGCGTAATAAATCGCGACTCAACGGTTCAACACCTGTTGAAGTTGGAACTCGACTGATCGAATAATTTGAATTTGAAAAGTATCGAACCCATTGGCATCGCTGCACACTCCAAACAGCTGACGAGCAGTGCTAGAAAGCGTCAGTTCGCCATATAGAACTGTGCAACGACTAAATTCGAAATAACATGGCTGCCATAGTCACAGCGCACACAAAGCTAATTTAAAGTACTCGTACATACAAACTATTTATATGCATAGCCAAAAATATTCATATTAGATTATTTATTTATCAACTTTAAGAAAGCAAACGAATATATTAATTAAATTAAGCGACCTAAGTTTCGATCCGTTGAGGCAAGTAAAACAAAACAAAGTTTAGAAACCTAATGTTTAAATTTATAAAAAGTTGACCTGCAAAAATATGAACATAAACTAAACTCTTGTAATAAAAAGAGCTCTATATTTAGCGATGTTTCGGTAACGCTCATGTAGATTATTTATTTCAAAATAGCTTAACACACTTTTCGGGGTAACTCGGCACATTCAAATGGAAACCTACCACATGGTCAGAAAACCTTACCAAATGGTGGGATACTCAAATTTAGTTAATAACCAAACCATTGTTTTAAATAACAAATATTGTTTTTAGAACAACGATAACAGGTAAATTAAACCCAATTAAAATCCAGTAAAAGTATATAGATTTAAAACTTACAAGTATACGTCAATTTAGTAAAATAACTATTTTGTTATACTATGAAATGTTTAATTATAGAAAAACAGATAGAGCGGAAAATGAAGTAGTTTTGCCAATAGAAATAACTCCATGAAATAATATTAAGCAATCGACTATACTATATTTCTAAAAATTGTTCTTTCGAATTGTTTACTTAAATTCCTTTCTCAAGAGTGTTCAGCGTTATTACTTTTTTTGTGATCAGAAACACAATATATGCCTGATGTTATCAAGAAGGACCTGTTTAATGCAGGTATACTTGAAACACAATACACATCATACCTTCGTGTCCTTTTTTAAATTAGATGACAATCAAAATTCGCGTGCCATTTCAACAAAGTGTTGATGTTCTTTGTATGATGTGAGACACAACGAACTCTAGTTGCTGTCCTTTCATAACACATATTTTATACGACTTGCAGAGAACGAATAATTATATTTATGTGAAGTAGTGACAGAGCATGAATTTGGTCGACATGCAACAGGAATTTAAATTACTTAGAGACAATCAAAAACTTCATTTTAATCTTAGTAGTTTGTAAATGCTCTGAATATACTATACTTATGAAGAAAAAAAGTTGTCTTCATGGGCATCTGCGCAATTGGAGCACCTTCTGCCAATATTAAGCAATACAGTTCTGAATATAATGGCAGCGTTAATATGCCACTCATGCGATTGACTAAATGTTAAGCCATCGACGAGCAATAAATGAAAGTCTTGTTGCCAAAATTGGTAACTGGTCAATGCAATGCATCGAGAGATGTTGATGTCGGTGCTGCTGCTGCTGTCACACAGATGTCATTTGGTTTGTGAATTGACAAAACATGCGCCTGCGCAGTTTTCGCCTTTTTCGCCTTCACATGAATATTTTCTTGTGAAAAATCGCAGCATCAGCTTCAATGCGATGCCAGTTTTTGTGTGTGACGCATGGATAACATCAAAACAATATTAAACACACGAACAGTGCAATGAGGTTCGCAATGCCAACACCAAAACCGGCCAAATCATTTGACTTAACTTGGGCTCCGGCTGGCGAGCACGAACACCCATACCGGTACCGTTGCCGATACCCAATGCCAGGGCGCTGTCTCTGGCGGCTCTGGTGACGCTCGAAACAATTGTCAATTGATTTCTGCGTGCCCGTGGTTGCGTGGCAAACTATCAACCTTAATGCACTTTCCTTTGCCTGCCAATGCCAAGACGGTCTGCCTGTCTGTCTACCTGGACATGACTAATGAGCCTAAGAGTATTGGCCGCAATAGGCCCAGATACGCACACAGTTTCCAGCCAACCAAGCTCACTGACCTTGACCCAGACACTTGGCTATATACAAAACGGTACAATCAGGTTCATTTCAGTGCCACCATCATTCTTGCTTTACTAGCAAGAAATACACAGGCATTGCAATGTTAAAACGCATTCGCATTCTGACAAACCGGCCCCACCACGACACGATGGCCTTAGTTGCTCTTTACATGCAGCCGTTGTTGTATTCTTCAGAACATGACATTCGGCAGCTATGTACATAACGCCTTGGCTGGCCTGATTATGCTTAACGACTCGAGTTGTGCAATGTTTCTTGATTAGCGACCACCTGCAACAGTCCATTCAACAGGAAAAAGAAGTGCATGGACTCATGTACATGTACATGCCCGTTTAATCACGACTAGAGGTGTTTAGTGTACAATATTGGATTACCATCTTTGAATCCATTATTATTTTATCTTAATTCTTTTTGTTTCTTATTTTTACTATATATGCCACGTATGATTCGACCCAATAACAATACAAAGCTATTGTACCTTGTACCAACTTGTATCAAATATTTAATTCTAATTCTAATAAACATTGAAAACATTAAGAAATGTCTGGTAACGAAAACATCTTGGCACAAAGCATCCTTCACACACCAATAGATGAAAAGACTTCCGCCATCAACTTAGCCACGCTTATTGCCAAAAAACTGTTATACATTCACCAATAAGTATCCAATTGCCTTTAAAAAAAGTGGATTTAATTTCTGCGGCGTCGAATTGGACACATAACGTTTTCAAACGAGCATATCTTCCTCTGCAGCTGAAACAATTAAAACCCACTCGAAAATTCAATAGATTACACTCTAGACCAGGGTCTTTATTCCAGATCCTACACCTCTACTCTACTCCTCTGCCATCTGGCAAACACAAACACTAATTTAATCCATAGTTATAGTTACATACTCGCAGCTTGACATCTTTTAGTTTTTAAATTCAGTCTTTTTGACTGACCACTTCCTTATATTAGTTTATATCGAATAACTTGAAATTTTAAAATTATAATTATTATAGTCTGCCCAACAATATTTGTTAGTTGGAAAAACATTTAGGTGAAATAAGAGATGTAGATATAGCACTAATATTAATAGTCATCAATTTAGTTATTTATTTATTAATTCTTTTTTTTCAAACCAGACCAACCAATACTTTACATCAATTTATATCGAATAACTACTTTTCTCGTTGGTTGAGTAGAAGTAGAAGTATTTTATAGTAAGTTATTGATAGATATCTGGTATGTTTATTGTTTATGCTCTTCGAATAAATAATAATAATAATAATAAATGGCTTTTCATCTGATTGCAGCTGCATAATTTGAAGAACTACTTGTACTCCTCAAATTGATTTAACAAGCAGTTGCAAATACTTTTAATTTGTAATAATTGTTTTCTTATGCACAACTCCAGTATTTATGTGTTCCCAATCGTCAATTTCGATATACTCGTATTTATGCATTTAGATACATATGTAAATGGGACATTTGATCGTGCAGGTAGAGTCACCTTTACAAACACGTGCAACGAATCCATTCTGGGAATGGGCGCAGTTTACTGTTGCCCATTATGAAATTACAGTTGTCGTACGAGCTTATTAATTTAGGTACACATATATATATATGTAGGTACATATGTAGGTATGTATATACTTAATTTACATGGTCTCATAATTACATATCCAGTTGGTGGAAAAGCGAGTCGCTCTGACGCATACCACACATGAGTTCAAAAATATGCAGTCGCTATCCCGGTATAACTGTAATCGCAGCCAACAACTCTATTTGGGCCGCCGCCACCGAGCCCTAAATGGGAACCACGTTGGCTGTTGGGAGATCATAATTTCATATTGTAGTCATAGTTGGAGCCCAACAGTGAACATGCCTTTGTAGAACAGCACGTAGGAACAATTAAAGTTTTCACTTCAATTTTTTAATTCATTTTTGGTTTTTGGCTGGCAGAAGACATCGAAATAAATTACGCCTCTGAATGTTTATACTCGTATGCCTAGACTGTAGTGCCCAGCACCCAATGAGCCGTAACGGGTACGGCTGATGTTTATATTTGGAGTTTTGTTACTGGCACTGCACCCCCATATCTTGTCAATTGGGAAATACAGCGCGCATTTTCCAGTTAATTGTGAATTTCCGGTTCAATGCAACTCATTTGCCTAACTTGTGTAACTTTGATCGTAAATGAAGCCGTCCATCCTATTGTGGCACTGTGCTAGTCAGTCACCAAGCCAGTAGGTGGCAACCGTTGGCCATGGAGCTTTTAGCTGAAAGTGAAACTAAGGTAATACATATTCCAATTCAGCTTGGTACGCAAAATGCCTTCAAGCCGATCTTCTCTGCACTATATCACAAGTCTCTGAGCCTTCAAAGAATCCAAAGCCAACTCTGAAAAGGTTCTTCTATTGTACATACATAAAAAGTATTAAGAAAATAAGAAAATAAAAGAACATATAAAATATACATATATTCAATTTCAGATGTTGAGCGATAAATACTATAAGGTGCCTAATGCTAACAAGACCGTCCCATATATGCATAACACTGCCAGTTTGAGTAGCCAATTAACAAATTTAAATGTAATTACTTGAACTATCTTGCAATGGGATTTGAAAACTTTCCTATGAACAGCCATAAGTATTTATGTGTTGCATTCCAATTGGATGTTTGCGGAGCCGCGATTATTTCGACGGAAAAGATATGGTGTTGGCAACTGAATAAACATATACGAAATACATTTTAATCACTCTGTCGAAACTTGTCAACTAAAGGAATTACGGGTATTAGTATTTCATGCCTGCTGAGAATTGGTCATGTGCTCTAATAAATTAAATTAAGATAACGTTCCCTATTTGCTCGATTTTGCATGGGATTTGATGACGTTTTCCCAACTGTGGGTATACTACATTTTATATGTACACGGGTTATAAGCTTCGGCTGATTCTTTTGTTAAATTGTGTTCAAAACGTCAAAAGTGTTCCGTTGAATTTCTAATGAATTAGGCATATCGTGTTCAAAGTTGGCACTAAATCTCAAATAAACAAATCGAGTGAGCTGTATATTGAGAAGTAATCGAGCTAACAAGATTGCGGCTTTATTATTATTTTAGCAAACAAAGCGAGAAGCGAAGCGCAGCTATTGTACACCAGATCGGCTCAGCACTCGAATGCGTCTAAGTAAATATATTTCATTGTGTTTTATATTTGAGGTAAAATCGTTGGCAAAAAATATCATTATGTAATCAAAACAGCACTCAAATAAAAATTAAATCAAAGTCAATGTTTAATGTTCACTTGAAAGTAATACTTCAGCACTCTCTTTTATGTAAGAAAGTGATTTAAACTCTCGGTGCCTGCTCGAATCTCGAAAAATACTGCGGACACTGAGATATAGACGATGCAGTGATCTTTGAAAAAGCAGAAGGCCTCGGTGAGTCTGAAATAGATTTCACAGGCTATACTAGTTATATAATTAGATTTGAAGAGACCCCCAAGAGGGTTATCGAAAGGAGGATATAACCTTAGAAGCACAGCTCTGCCTACTACGTATTCATGTTTTTGGATAATAATGAAGCCGCAGGCCTCACAGCTGATCTAATCTCTGACGCAATAAAATACTCTTCAGACGTCAAGGTTAATCCAATTTGCAATTAAAATTTTTGGGTTTTCTGAATGAAACTCATTCGTTCGCTTTTGTTTTATCATTAGATTTTATTTTCGCCTACGAATGGACACTTCCGATATAATTGACGTAGACAAGAAATTGGGAGACCGGCAAAAAGAATTTCTTTTTTGGTGCAGATAAACAAGGTATCTACTTATAAGTTGTGTTTATATTACGCACACATACACACACACATTTAATGGAAATATGGGAATGTATTGAATATTTATGGGTGCGATTGTTTTATCTCAAGTTCTATAAATGTAGTCACAACTTTTTGTTTTTGTCTTCATTAAGCGTCAATGCGAAACGAGCTGTTGATGAGATAATTTAATTTTCGTCGACAAATCCAACCGAATTATAATTGTTTTAATTAAAGTCAACTCGAATGAGATTGGGGACTGCGGGATTGGGATTGCGATTGGTCAGCATATACTTATAGTAGAGGACCACCAAAAGATTGCTTACTACCAGCAGCTGGACTAACAGTGCCGAGCTTCGGCTATTGCCAATGTTTGGCACTCTAATTCATTCGTACATGCCCGTATTCTTGTGTACAAATATCACGCGGTGATATCATCGACTACATTTTTTCCTAGGTATTTTAGAGCAAATACAACATGTAGTACCAATGCGAAATGTGCGCGATAAGATAAATTCTACCGCAAATATTTACCATTGGCATTAACACAAGTTTCGCTCTGCAGCTGCCTGTGCCGGCTGGCTGGCAACGAATTATTTTGAAGATTGCCGAATAATATGGTGTACTGTACAGTCATACGTACATATATTGTTCTACAGCCACAATGGAATCAACACGCTTTGTTTTTGACCTGCGCGCTGGCAAACCTCACTGAACCTTTAACTATGACCCAGAAACCCACAAAAACGTCAACAAACTTACTACCCACACCCATTACCAACACTCGCACAATAAGCAGCTGATTTCTGGTTGAGCTTTCTGCCTATTGTTTAGCTACGTTCACGGCTTCAGCTTCTCGAAACGCGTTTTCGAGTCAATTAGCCGTACAAAATAGACACGCAACAGTTAAATTGTCGAACCGCCTCATGAGCTCAGGAGATCTAGAGAATTTGTCCAGTAACTACTTGAATAGAAAACTTATACTTCGAAAATTTCGTCTACAAAATGCTTATGAAATGCATATATTTGTGTATAATTTAATTGCTTTCTTATACTTTAAAATACTGTAAAATAATCTTAAAATAAAGAATAAGTTATAAATAGAGTTGTAAGCTGTACTCTTGATAAAATTTTGTATTTTCTTAAATTTTATACACCTTCTTGACCATAACTTTAATATCTGCGACATCCAACTGGGAGATGCATTTATTTGATCAATCATTACATCCCCACCCTAAAATCCAATCTATGTTCAGTCATTTCATTGATAACGTGTGCCATTTTCATTCAAGAAAGTGCTCAACTAGTCTATTGTTTTGTTAACTTAAAATAATGTGAACATGTCATATTCGAGGGAAAACCCCAACCAAATTGACTAAGGCACCTATCAGCTTCTATTTAGCAAGAGCATGATAATAACAAGGAACAATATCAAAATATTTCGTTGTTTTGATGGTTTAATGGTTGTAGTCTACAGTGTCTTACAGGCAACTTTTGAACTTCAAACAGTAATAGCTCGAAGCATAATCAAAATGTTATAATATTAATTTAGCATTGCACAATGAAATTTAATCTCTTCTTGTTATGTATGTAAAGCTGTAATCCATTCTTCTTTGTTTTTTCACTGAACAAAATTATATCCGAAGGGATTAAGTACTTTCTTAGTCACCCTAGCAGAATTTTGAAACTTGTCAGATTCCATAGCTTACTTGCAAAATTGTGTATATAGTAAATGAGAAACCATCAGAAAAATATATTTTTCTTAAAGAAACTGACGTCTTTAATGCTTGAACTCTTGTTACGAGTATGAGTCTTGGTTTTGTGATTGTAGAGTGTTTTTCTTATAACGTTCAATTCGTTTGTCAGCGTAGTATAATTAATATAGAAATATAGAAACGAATGCATTCAACATGTGGAAAATATGTCTGGCGAAATGTATTGTTTGGCTAATATTGAAAGGAAACTAATCATGATAACGTGTCAGTGATATCGTTATCAGTAGGAGCGCACTCATTAATTCCCTCGCCATTGATAACGCGGGCTCTCTGAAAAAAATAAAAATTAACGAAGCGCTTTAGCTCTCTAGCTCTGCTCTTGCAAATATTCAGGCGGTGTGTGAGACAATGTTATCGGTATTTAGAACAGATAGAGTCTCTCTTTTGGGGTTATTTACGCGTTGTTGGAATTTCGTAATGACTGAACATTTCTGCAAATTCATTATGGAGTGTGCATGTGTGTGTGTATGCCTGCAAATGTGTTTGTGCGTGCAGGAGTGCGAGGGGTGGAAGCTCGCGCGCGCTTAAGTTTCAAAGTATACATATGTATATACATATGTAATTAAAAGTCACTGTGTTTTACAACCAAACTGTATTCCAACATGGTCGTGGGCCGCAAGCCAAATACTCTACTGTTTCCGTACTATCTTATCTCTCTTTCGAAAGCACTCACTCTACAAGTATGAATGCTATATGATCTGGCGTTTTCGGTCTCGACACATAATCTCTGTATTATCAAATTACTACGATAGCCCCAATACTGTGGGAGGAGTAGTAATTTAAACAAACAGTTGTTCAAACGGACTTTGCGATTTGGAATTGTCTGGTCATACTGATCATATATAGTATATATCATAACTTGTGGTTCATCATTCTCTCATACTTGGTGAAGGCTCAAAAAACAATAAACCCTTAAATTTTTAAGTAAGGGTATAACAATGTTCCAATGTTTCGGGAGAGTTCTTGCACCCCCTTACTTTTCCCATTCGCCGGGTCAGAGAGAGAGAGTGTGTGTGTGTGTGTGTATTTGCGACGGTTATCCACGTGTTGCAGATAATGGCACTACCACTGCCGGTAAGCAGCAGCGGTAGTCCATGTGTTGCTCATCGCATCGAGATCGAGAGTTTCACTCACACAGAGAGAGAGAGAGAGAGAGAGCGACCCGTTGGGTTCGCTCTCGCTCCCGCTCCCATCCAGTCGGTGAAGTTTCGTGTGTGCGTCTGTCTCGATGTGCGCTGTACGCTTAGGCTTTAACACTTTGCGCAGCTTTATTCGGTGTTGAGCTTTTCAAACGTACGGTCGTGCTGCGTCCGTGTCCATGTCGCTTCGCCAGTAATTTCGAGTTGGTCGGTGTTCGAAACGTTCGTTGCTTCAATTGTTTCATTTGGGCTTCTCGCGCGACTTCAAATCCTCGCCCTTCGTTGCCAAGTAGCCGTCAGGATAAAGGCTTCGCATTTTTAGGTAATTACCACTGAATCTCCAAAATGAGGTACCAAGTCATTTAAAAGTGCGCGCAACAATTTTCACCTCTGAACGAGCGGCCGTTGTCAAGAGAAGCGAAAATGAAATAAAAACGTTTCGCGCAAAAACAAAATCAAAGCCATAAAGATGCTGAATAATAAAAACAAAATACACAGCAAACACATAAAACGCTTTTTGTTGTACAATTTATAAATTGTGCCGCTTGTTGTGGCGGCCGTGATTGTTAATGTTACTGTTGTTGTTTTTGCTTTTACTATATATTGTCATTTGTGTTGCCTCGTTCTTCTCTACTTTTTTGCGCTGCTTTCGTTGTCATTTCTCGGCACTCGAAATACAAATACATATTTTATTTTTGTCGCTCGCTTTTTCGTTTTTGATTTTTGCAAAAAATAAAAATAAAAAAGCCTTTTTGCGACAACGGCTACCGAACCTGATAGCAGACGCATTCTGCAATGCGCTCTTCCTCAGATCGGGGGACTTTCATCTTCAGTCTCTGGCCGCGTTTCGACATCGCTCGATCGGCGCGACGCCAAAACAGCAGCAATAAAAATCATTCTCAGATGTAGAAAACAAAACCAAACATAAAATAAAGCGCATATTGCAGACCTTCTCCATTCAAAGTGATATTTGTGCAAAAGATACAAAAACACAAAAGAGTAAAACTGCAAGTTATTAAATAATTGTGCTACAAATACCTAATACCATCCTATTGATAACTAAGAGATTGAAATTGTGTGGTGAAAGAATAAACTAGCCTTAGGTACATTTTCATCTAACCAAAGTGCTTCAAACTGTAGAGCATTTTTCAATTTAATATATATGCGTACGTATGTATTAGTGAGCATTTAGCTTAAGATCAAGGTCGTGTTCATTAACACAACCCAGGTCCAGCAACAAACATGAAAATAATGTGTAAATTGGTGATAAGATTTTTTTGACGAAAGACTCGAGAACTATATCCCGAAAAAACTAACAAAAATTAATATTTTAATTCGCAACCAATTTAAAAAAAAAAAAGGTGAATGAAGAAATATTGAACTTTTACCAAAAACACAATTGAAATAGAACGATAAACATGGAAAATGAAATGCCAAATTTAAGAGCTACTTTTCCTGAAAAGTCCATGAAATAACATTATAAGAGCTGCGGTAATGCAATAGCAAGCATAGCTTATTTTAAAATAAATTCAAATACTTATAATTATATTTAAAGAATTTAAAAATTGATGAATTTAAAATTGTATTTCTGCAATGTTGAGCTGTTTCGCATTTTCTTTAGAAATAAATACGTCTGTATATAGAATACCTAGGCATATAGTATAACTATATAAATATTTAAAACAAACATGAGATAATCAGTGCCCGCTGACTTTCCGTGTATTTTTGTAAATGGGTTTTAACTAGCGGGGTTTTTTTTTGTTGTTGTTGTTTTGTATATTTTTTTCGGCATTGCAGTATGAATCACAGCTACTGTTAATTGCACGGTGGTGGAGTGTGGACCAAACAGGTTGCTGCTGCTCCAAAATTGTACTTCTACATAACTCTTGACTTGTATTTAGTGAAACAAACTTGACCCTATTTCACAAGAGTTATACAATTGCTAAAAGAAACAGCGGCGAAACGGGGCGAGAGAGAAATGAGTAAACACGTCACATAAAAACGGCGGCAACTTTAACCCCTTGATGGCCAGATCAGTCAGTCAGGCAGACAGACGGACAGACAGGCAGATATTTTATTTGCGGCATTTAAAAGTTACTTAAGCGCACAGTTCAAAATGCAAAACCTTCATGCCAACGATCTCAACGATTATAAAGTTATTGTGAAAACACGCACACACTCACACACACACACACACATAAGCCGACAGTGGAACAGACACATGCATTCATTTGAAATCTTAACGACACACTACATGGTACTCGCACACACACACACACACACACATGAGCCCATACTCGATTGTACTCGTTCGTCGTTTAGCTGCAATGCTGTTGTTGTTGCTGTTGTTGTTGGCTTATGTTCCATCCATGCAATTTTTGAATCGTTTACGTAAAAAACATGAAAACCACACAGCATGTACGCATTTATTGCAGACCTATGGAAATATCGAATATGCATTATGCATATGTACAAGTATGTTCAAAAATATACATAAATACATACATACTTGTACAAATATACGTGCTTTGGCAAAACCACAAACAAAAACACAGCCTTTTAATTAGTTTGCCTTTAACCTTGAGCGCTTTTTATGGCCAAAACAGCTTCTTTCACTTGGCCTTTATGCCCAAGTACAAGTATATTTATACCTATTTTTACCCTATAGCCGAAGGCTAAAAGGGTATATTAAGAAATCGGTACTGCATACAACAGGCCAAAGGAGGAGTGTCACCATCTGACCGTCTGATATGCTGTGTGTCTGTATGAACGTCGAGATAATTAGCTAGCGCGGCACAAACTGTAGACTTGTCTTAGAAGCTTATAGCTGCGATAGAAACAACTGTGCAAAATTAGTCTTGGTAGCAATATCTGTTCAGATACTATCATAAATTTTCAAATCATAAATTTACTTTTTTGGAAAGTAAGAACCGGGTACATACGAGTCGGCGCTATACTATGCAATCGAATTTTTTACATTCCTCCCCTGCCCTGCCCTGTTTACTTATTGAAACATGAACTGTTGCAGATTCGTTGTTTATTGTACTCGTTGCCCACGCGTAGCTATAAACTAGCTAAAAGCAACAAAAGTATTCAACAGCTCTACGAAATCGCAAGTATATGGGAATTTCGCCGCTGACCATTGGACTGACCCGACCCCGACGATCGATGTTTTAGTCACACCAGCAGGGAAACTTCTGGTGTGAAATGATTCATTTGTGTGACAAGAAATGAAATGTAGATACGATAGGTATTATACAAGTATGTGCTTTTGCGGACACATAAACAAAGCTAGGTATGTATGTATGTACTTTTGAGGACACATAAACAAAGCTATGAATTTAAAAGAAGCACGGCGGCTATGGAAAACAAATAAATAAGTAAAAAACAAGATAGAACGCTACAGTCGAGCAAGCCCGACAGTAAAATAGCCTGTACTCTCCACAAAAAAAGAAAAATTAAAAAAAAAAAATTAAATTATTAAAAAAAATTAATGAATTAATTAATTAAATTAAATTAGAATATATGTTTATGTTTAGTTTTAACAGCATACATTTACATCACGTACCTATGCGTGTTTATATGCGTGTATGTATGCAGCACAAAGTTGAACCAAAGCAGCAACAACAACAACAGCTGCGGGCAGCGATGCCGACAGAGGCAGCGCATGAGCAGCGATTTTACTTATGGCTATAACTTTCTTCAGAATTGACCTATCATGATGAAATTTGGCACACGGACACATTAGTACTAACTGGATGTACCTACCAAAATTGATTTCAAAATTCCGAGAATTACGGAAGTTATAAGAAAAAACACGAATTGCGGGGGAGTGGGGGGGTGCATCGAAAAAAAACTCAAACTCGTACTTTCTCGGTCTTAGGAGAATATGGAAACCAAGTTTGGTTATTCTAGCTCTTATACTTTCTGAGATCCTTGCGTTCATACGGACAGACGGACAGACAGACGGACAGACGGACGGACGGACAAGGCTATATCGACTCGGCTTCTCATCCTGATCAAGAATATATATACTTTGTGGGGTCTGCCACGCCTCCTTCTGTGTGCTACATACATGCGCACAAAACTAGTATAGCCTTTCACCCTTTGGGTACAGGCTATAAAAAGGGCAAAGCTGCATCGAAATAACGCGAAATTTAAGTGCAACAGAGACTGAATAACTCATTCTGCTCACAAACGACTAACTCTGTTTTTATACAGATATGTACATACTGTATGTATGTATGTTTGTCTGTATGTTTGTTTGTGTGTCTTTCGAGTGCTTGCGTAACACTCCGAGGCGCGTGCATGCGAGTAGTGTCCACCTCGACTGGGTCTGGGTCTGGCACTGGAACTGGGCGTTGGTGCGCTATCTATAACTCAAGCAAGTGCTAATTTACGGTTCATAATTTACAGAAATGTGCGACTTGAAGTTTCGAACAATTTCAATACAAATCTGCGCTTGTTTGTTACTCAAGAGTAGTTGCCTTATCGCCTGCTGACGTTACTCTTTATTAATTCTACTATATAGTAGCTGATTAATTCGTAATTACTGATATTACTACTATTTCTCCGTCTATTAAATGGTATATCCGTTGATAAGTATGCGACAAAGAACTTCCGATTTTGATTCTATGAAGTGTAAATGCAACAAATGAATGCCGATTTGATTATTTTGCCGATTAACATGTACTTTTCAAAGCAAATAATGCCGCTGCTACGAATTTAATTTGCATCTATTATTTCATTTGTTTTTAAGTGACAAACAGCTGATTTGAATTATAAAAAATTAACAGAAAAGCTAGAAATTATATCACAAATAAAAAGTCACACTTCACCTTTTTATTATGTCACAAATGAGATAAATAATAATACAGAATAGATCTTTCAAATTTTGTTTTCTACAACTGATTCAAAGAATGAATAAAGATTTACAAAACCAAATAATTGCATCTATTATATATACATTTTAAAAGGGATATATTTTACATACAAGGAAGGACATCTTTTACATTTGCCTCACCAGGACTATCTATTCGTGTTTTTCAGGTCCTGACAAGCTTCCAATAAAAATTACAAATAGAATTTGGGTTTTAAGTTCATTTTTAGCGACCCTACAACTTAAATACGTGTATATGAGTTAGGCTTTTCAATATTTGCCAGTTAACCCGTATGCTTCGGGTTCATGAAAGAAATATAAAAAACAACCTAGTGATAACGTCACTACAATGGGGTAAGGCGAGTGTTGCCAAGGCCTTTTTCTATTCCTATTGCTTCTTTATCTACGTCTGCATTTACGTACAAACATATATGTACATACAA